ACATAATCCAGCATATTCTATTCCAGTTCGAAAAATGCACATTAGTAGACAAAAAGGCGTTCACCGGTGGTATAAATTAGACCTTGTTGTCTAAATTTATTTATTTATTTCAAATGGCAGGCGTTATGATAGGTATCATTAGCCCTTTAGTTGACTTCGGGCTTCACAGAAAGGAGGATGAACATCCAACTGGTAAAAAGTCGAGAGGGGGACAGAATAATGATTCACAGACATAAAAGAGACAGACACAAAGGTAGAAAAAAGGTCAGGGAAATACTGTGGAATTATTCGAATATGAAATGTAATGGGGTCATGGTAGTTTGAAGTCAGAAGTCAACTGCCGGTTAATTGACCTTTTTGCCGTATGAGTATGCGCTGCCCAGGGTGCACCACGTGGAGGTAAGTCCATCGCACACCCCAAAGCGGACTCCAGCATATTCTATTCCAGTTCGAAAAATGCACGTTAGTGGACAAAAGGCGTTTACCTTGTTGTCTAAATTAAGAACTTATAAAGTGGTTTAAATTTCGACTTTGAAATACGGGATGGAGAATTGGTTTGTTTTTTCCCATACGATTTAAAAACCTTGAAGTGCTTTATTTTTAAAATTTCAGTCATTTAGGATCGATTGTTGACACTCATGGCAATTGGACAAGTTCTTACGGTAGCAATAATTTGCTTTATTTTATCTCATATGAATGTTGTGACTTCGGAGTTTCTCCTTCGTTTAGCTGTCAATTGTATTCACTAATGTGTTTTCATTATCTCAAATCCCTGATTTTAAATTCGTTTATACAAGTCCTCGATTCAGGTCGTTTAAATTGTACGAAATTGTTCATTTGTTGTTTATCTATAAAGTTTTATTCATAAAATGTGCTTAGATTAGGAAGAATGTCACATGCCGCATCTATATTACTGATTCATTAAGGAAACTGATTTTATTTCTCAAATCGGAGTTCAAATTTCACCACATAATGGAATTATGCTTGCGTTTCACTTTTAAGCAAATAAATCAATTTATGCTCAATAGGGTTTGAATAATCAAATTAGTATTAGAAATAATACTAATTTTATTTATAAAATTCTCTAATTTGGTCTAGAAGAAACTATTTGGTTGTATCTATATTATATTTAAATTAAAGCTAATTGTTCATTACCCCACTCAATGGCCTTTACTTTGATTCTCTGTAATGAGTCGTCAATATTATAAATCTTAAATAATGATTATTTTAATTTCACATTATGCTTCGGCGCATTCTTGAACACACACATTTCTTGAGTTATTTTATAAGGAATCCTAAAGTTCCTTAAGGTTTCAAGAAATGTACACTAATTTTGAATGTAAAACTTAAAAAACATTTTTGGGAAGCTATTGGCATTGAAAAATAGTCCCTCGTATTTATGAAGCTTTTCGTCGTTAGCTACTTCCACGATAATAACTTTTAATTTTAATTTTCTTTGCCTCTGTGATTTTACACAATGCCACTTTCAATGAAAATAGATATTTTGTGTGTATTTTCTGCATTCGTCGTTTTATATTTAAATTCGATTAAATGTAAAAAATGTTTCAAAATCATTTTTTAACAGTAATTCAAGATAATTGATAACTGTTTTCAATTGTTATTTTTACGTCACTTAAAATGATTACAACTCGCCTTAATGCATTGATTGGGGCTTTGCGTTGTCAGTTCCAACATTGACTTTAACAATATGCAATCATATAAAGCGTTAAACTAATTTTAACTTACTAAACTAGTAAAGTTTAATTAAAAATAGTTGATTTGACCTTACAAAATTGACTTATTGGCATCATAGTAAGCAGACACGCCTTAAACCTGACTTACACCATAATGTTGCTGGATGCTCACTATTCTACGGCTACGATTATTCAAATTCAATAATCCTATAACTTGAAAGCGAATATACGTATTGAAAAGATTATTAATCGATATGAATTGATTACCTATCATCTTACCAAATAATTATATCAGTGAGCACCAGTGTACACTCTGACCTCAGGTTTGCTATCTCTCTCCCCCTTTGTTTTGTGCCTATACTGTCTATTATCTTTGCTCCGTCAATGGCCTGTCATTGAACAAAGAAGGCAAGATCGATCAATCAGCCTATCATACCTCATTTCGCCCTGCCACTACAATCTGGACTGGCCTTCTCAATACGAGTCTCCACTTCTTCATTCCAATTCTTCCTTTTTTCTTCCTCTTCTCACTTATCCAGCCTAGCTCCTGATTTTCTTACTCCTTGTTTCATAGAAGCCTTAAAAAATGACATCCAGTCTGATTTGGCTAGAACTATAACCTCAATCTATTTTAAATTAGAGTCATTTTACCTGTAGTCCCAAACATGAGTTCAAGACCCAATAATCAATAAATCAATGTCCGCTGCATAACGCCCGTTATTTTCGTTCCAATGTTTAGTTTTGCTTTCTGGCACTAATGCAGACTACATCGTCAACATTCATGAAATTTTATTGAGGTATTAATTGTCATTAATAAATAGTAACTGCCGGTTAAAAGTATTGACACACATCCTTACTTGATTTTGAAAGTACATTAGTCTATGATAAGTGCTGGTTATATATAGGCATAGTAAGTGGTCAAATCTTAACCCTACTTGACGCCGTTAAACAAAAATAGTGTTTAAAACGCATTAAAAATAAATTTAGCATAATTAACAGAACCCTTTTAACTATCTTATGGTCTTTTTGGCTTCCTTTTAAATTCAAATTTATAAATTACTCAAAATTCTGTAATGATTTGAATCCATAATAGTGCTTTTGTTACTGAAATTATTATTACTGGAAGTTCACACTTTTATCCCGAGAAATCAATTCCATTAAAATAACTGTAAAGATCATTAATGGTGATGGGAAAAAGTAATAAAAAGATTTTTGATAATCAATTGAGTCATAACTCATTCGCTTTTCATAATCGTTCAACGCTTATTTATTTATTAAGTTACGCTGTCCCACACCAAAATGTATTTTGTCCAAAGATCGAAAAAGTGGACTGGCCTTAAGTGGAATAATTAAATGAGCATTTATTTCCAATTTCAGATCCAGGAAGTTACGGTATAGCCATAGCTAATTACCCCATGAGCTCGGAAACCTTCGTGTCAACTCGTAGCTTTCTTATCTCACAAATTCTTGAATTGGTCAAGGCCATAGGGGTCGTCATCGCTTTGTCCTTCATCTCGTCCTCCTTCTCCACTTTCATCATTCGAGAACGTAAAAGTGGTTTTCTGGCAATGCAACTTCTAGCCGGACAGAAGAGAGTGATCTACTGGGCCATGTCCTACGTATGGGATTGTATCTCTCTCCTCGTCCCTATCGCAATAATTATCGTCGTCTTCATCATCTTCAATGAAACTGCCTATATCGGCAAAGAACACATTGGCGGATTCATCGTTTTAATGGTCGTATATAGTCTTGTTATCACACCTCTGATGTACTGCCTCACATTCGCTTTCAACGTCCCTTCTGTTGCATTCGTCTCTCTACTCGCAATCAACATCCTCATCGCCACCATTACGTCTATCATCATTTATATGCTTGAATTGATCTCCTTTAGTGATTCCAGTGTTGAGACAGTGGTGAATGTGTTGGAGAAAATTTTCCTTATCTTCCCACAATTCGCGTTCTCTCGCGGGTTTTACGTTTTGGCTAAAGGGCACATCATAAGGGAATTTGGATTGGGGGAAATTATGGACGGTAATAACATCTGGGACTGGAATGCATTGACGGAGAAAATTGTTGCCATGCTGATTGAGGCCATTCTCTTCTATGCAATTCTTATACTGATATCCTGCACAAGTGAGGCTGCCGTCTGCGACAAGTGCTTGAAGAAGAGGTGGAAGAGGATGGAGGTGAAAATGAAGCAGAAATCCACTGATGGAGATCAATTTGAAGGGGTCAGTGAAGATGTCTTGGAGGAGATCGAAAGGGTAGAAAATGTAAGTGGCTTGAAATCTTCCCCTTATGAATACGTGCTCTAGTTGATAATAATGGTTGCTAATCTTGAGTAAATCACCAATTTATCGCTATTTATTTATTTCAAATGGCAGGCTTTATGATATTTATCATTAGACCTTAATCATTGACTTCAGCTTTCCCCAAGAGGGGGGGGGGTACAGTTATAGCAGTTAATTAATTGCAATTCATTAGCTCCCTTCTTGCTTCCCAGTATCTTTGGATTTTCGTTCTTGTCCTTAGGGCCAGACACCAAATCAGGTGGGTCTTCTTCATTTCCTCATGTAGGTTACATAGAAGACATGTGGGTTGAGTGTATACTCCCAATCTGTGAAGGTGTTTTGCCAAGCAATCGTGTCCGGTACGTAGTCTAAACTCATCAACGGCTTCGATTCTTGGCCAGTCGGGTATGTCGGAGAGTGCCACTGTCCACTGTTTCTCCTTTGTTCGAGCTTTGAGTTCGTTGCACCTTGAGGTCTGGAATTCTCTCCTGATTAAGGCCTTCATTGTGTGAAAAGACATCGGCCGGTCCATGCATTGCAAAATCGTTGTCCCCTTCTTAGCAAGTGTCAGCAAGCTCATTGCCTTTAATGCCACAGTGACCAGGAATCCATTGTAGGACCACTGTTTTGTTTTTTCTCTCTCAGCAGCTAATAGAGTTTTCTACATTCCTTTATCTCAGCTGTTTTGGGTGTCTCTCTGTTTCCAATAGAGTCTATTGCTGACTGTGAGTCCAAAAGTATCACCGCTTTAGTGAATTTCGTATCCAGGCAACATAATTGGCATAGTGCTATCCTTATGGCCTCTATTTCTCCTTCAAAAGCGGATCTATTATGTCCCGCTGCTGCGTAGAAAGAGAAGAGTTCAGAATAGACACCTGCACCAACGTTTGCTTGGCTTTCTATGTATGACCCATCAGTGAAGACTTGGAGCCATTGATCTCCAGGATAGTTGACATTGATTGTCTCAAGGGCCAGTGAGCGCATTTGCTCGGGAGGAGTGTTTGATTTCCTGAAGAAGTCGAGCANCAATGTGACTTTTCCACGTTAGCTTTGTGTCAAACGTCATCCGAGATAAGTGAACTCATTGGTTTTTTCTATGGTAGAATCCTTGTAGCTTAGAAGCGGGTTTATGCTGTGATTGGCCAAAGAAAATGTTTAGAATGCAGTTTTTGCGGTGTTAATTACCATTCCATTGTTGTCGCAACAGTTTGCTAGTAGTTTAAGTGCACTATTAAGAGCACTTTCTATCCTCTCCTGAGCGTTTTTCTTGGGGGCGGAATACCATAGAACAAGATCATCTGCATAAAGCAAGCATTTAACGCCCGTGACTGTCTGTACCAATTCGGCTATGTCATTGATGAAGACATTGAAAAGAGTGCAGCTTGTGACAGCTCCCTGTGGAAGGCCTGTTTGTAAAAGATTGGATATTGATAGAGCATTTCCGTATCTGACTTTACACGATCTTTGTCCAATGAATGCTTTTATCCAGTTTAGCATGTTATGCTTAATACCAATCTTTGCCAATTTTAGAATTAGCTTCTCTTTCCATACTAAGTCATATGCTGATTTGAAATCGACGAAAACAGCCGTAAGAGTATTTCTTGCATCAAGGGCATCTTTGATGTGTTGGGAGAAAGTGGCTACTTGTTGGTTCGTTGATCTTTGTGGCCTAAAACCTGCTTGTTCACTCCTAAGAATATTGTTAGTCTCAAGGAACCAGGTCAGCCTCCTGTTAACCATTCTTTTCGCTATTTATAAAAATGGTCATCTTGGTATTGTTCGAAATTTCATACCACGCATCTTCTTGCCCGAAAATTCAAATTAGAGCTAATTAAAATCATTTTTTCTACCCAATTAACATTTTAATTTTTAAATGAAACCTATTGTTCATATCAATTTATGCCATTCTGTAATGGCTAATAAGACCGAATATGGGGTGTTTGAAGAGCACAAATACTTCTCCTCAATTTTGAAATTTGTCTAATTTATTTTTACTAATTTTGTATTCAAATATTCACACTTGGTGCATAGGTGGTTCTTCAAACTATTCTACCCGTTATAACTGAGATCTTGTGGTGAATGCTTCCGAACGATGCTTAGATGGACTTTACGACATGAGGGTGTTGTTAATCATTAGAACTCTGCTCCCCGAAGGCTGGTGCAAAGGTTTACTTCTGAGGTCTTGTGTTCCAAATATGCGGACTGTGAAAAATTGATTTATCTCATGCGAGAAGTGTCGAATGAATATGCTTAATATCACGATTGAAATTGATTTCCCCATAATGAAGGAGAGTTGGCGAAACTCTTCATAAATAGCATGTTTCAATCGTGCATGATTTTTTCTCGAAGGCCCTTTTTTCTAATCTTATATAAGACGATTTGCTAAATCTCGGCTTCCATCCTAGTTACGGCTATTTAGGTCACACTCTGTCCTCACACAAATTCCAACGTCTTAACTTAGGGTTTCTTGTCCTAATTTCGTTTAAATGACGAGTTGTACTAAGAATTTATGTTCGGTTAGGTTTCGATTTTCACCTGTGAATTAGTGCGGAACATTCGGAAACGGCGTTTTACTTATATTAAGAAGAGGCGTATTTGTTTTGCCCCATTGGTAACTATTGGAAACGGTACTGAAATGATAAACAATCTAAGGGTGCAATTTTTTGAGCAATTTCATCAACCACATCTGTAAGGAAAAGGTATACTTGTGCTCTAGTGAGAAAATTCATTCTGAAAAATTGTTGCCATGATGAACATAATTCATCGTAATTAACTTGGGTGTTCTAAAAGTAGTTTGAATTAGTGCATTCAATGAAGGTTATTATATGGAGCTATTTTCTCGAAATGACCAATTATATTAACAGGTATAATTATTATCTTGAAGAGAAGAATTTTGAAAATAGATTATACAATGTCAATAAGCATCAGTGTCTCTGTTTGAGTTTGTTTACACAATTTTCTGAAATACTCGTGCTTACAGATCAATAAAATGCATTTATTGAATTAGCACAATCTAAGCCAGTAATTTGTACCACCCTACTTAAGAAGCAACCTCAACTAAAAGGTAAAATTAAGGCGATAGAAATTGACCTTGACTGGAGTAAAATTGGCAAAATGAAATTTGAAACATTAGATTGATGCTCAAGATTGGTTCAAAGTGGTCCACTATTCAGATTCCTGATTGTATTCTCATCTTAATTAGCCTTTATTCCATTGGGATTAAGGGAATTTGAATAATACAGGAACATGAGGACAACTCACAAATTTTGATGGTGATGTATAATACATGAATAAATAAAACGTAAGGCTAATCATGATAGAATTACCACAGGAATTCGTATGTTCATGATAAACTGTGAAGCTACACTGAAATTGCATCGAAAAAGTGAATAGAATGTGAATCTGGAAGCCACACGTTGATTCTTCCACTATGACAAAAAATGAGGCGAGAAGCACGTGCATTTCCTTGATGTCAAGTCAAGGAATTCGTAATTTTTATCCCAAATTATCACTGTTTACGGCAATGTTAGCGGGAAAAACAGCCGTTTGTTTTCAAATCAAGCATCTATTTCATCACCTTAGACAGCTTTAGCTTAACCATCGAGATATTCACGCCCATTTGTCTGACTATAATCAGGCTAGGGAATAATCCATTAGAAATTGCTATAATTGGGCTGAACAGCTACACTTAAAATTAATTTTTGTTAACACTTGGAAAAATTAAGCCAAAATTAAAAAAAAATATGGGTACCAATATATTTAACAGGCAAGAGATAATTCCTCTCCGGTTGGCCCCACAAAGCACGAATGACTTTTCAAACAATTCAGGAATCCAAATTAGAGGTCTAACCACATCCTCCAAACCCTGGCCACACACACCCCACCACATTATTATTATCATCATCATGTGATTTCGAAATTCGAATTGTGTGGAAAAAGCCTTGGAACAAGTCTTTGAACATAAAGAAACCCAGCTCTTCTTCCAAAAAGCTATCGAAGTACTACAAGACTCATTGAAAAGAGTTTGAAATAATCGGGAAAATTATGCTTTTCATTGTCATATAGGTAACTTAAAGTTAAATAGCATTTCTAAAATACGCCATTTCGTATGGGTACCGCGAATAAACAGTGGAATGTTTATATCATTCACGTAATAGATTTTGTCCAACGCACATAATACCTAATAAATAATCATCTTGTAAACATTTTGGTCGAATATTCAATGGACTATGTGCACTTTAGGGTGTAGACCACTTAAGAAAGGTTAATGGCAAATCATGGCAAAATCAAATGGCAAGTTTATCACTTAAGCTATCTTCTAGAAGCTTCTTATAATACACCACAGGCATTCTATTAAGAATTCACCTATCAGTGTACTGATGTACTCCTAGAATTTATATACGTATATTGAAAAATTAGGGAATAATTTGAGAATAAAAAGGTTCACTTTTGGATGATTATATATATATATATATATATATATATATATTTATTTATTTATTTATATCAAATGGCAGGCGTTTTGATGGTTATCATTAGCCTTTTAGTTGCCTTCAGGCTTCACAGAGGGGGGGGGGGG